CTAATAGATCGTTGTTAAAGTTAGGAATAAAGTTATGAAAGAGACGCTTATATTAAAATCCAACTAGAATGACGGTAATCGAATGGCGGGGCTGGTGCAAAACTTTTCAAATGAAATTGTGTGGCGCAAACCGTGCTTTAATGTAAAAATTAATTAGTGACGTAGTATTTTCAACCAAGGGGATAAAAGGAATAAATGAGGAAATAGTCATTCTTTTATTAAAATGGTACAATAAGAATTAAAAGGCAATTCAGAAACATGTTTGCTATGATGTTGGAGAATGGTCAATCCTGAAAATAAAAGCAAGAATATTTTTGCCCCAAAAAATTTATGATCCAAGTAAGAGTTTTATGACTTGCTAAGATGATACTTCTCCTCAACTTCACTTGATGTAGCAGTATAAAAATCTGATAGCTGCTGATTATTGGAAATTCCTTGAGCAAAAGTGTATTGTAATTTCAAATGACATTACAAATTCCTCACTGCAGTACGATTATTTAAATCTTTGCATTTCAGCTGGACGTATTAAATGCGGCCTCTGGCTCAGATCTCAGTTCTTGGTTAATAGTTTAGCATCGGTATTTCTCAAAGAGTTGCACAGCGCGACGGAGCTCTGAAGACTCATTACCTTGGACAAACATCCATCGTATCCGAGCCAGCAATCTGATGAGATTCCTTGTTTGAACTTGTTTTTTGAATAGAAACTCGGGGATGATTTAATCGCGTGAGGAGAAATGTGTGGAATCTCTCGTACCGAACGGATAATTAGATTTCCTAGTTTTATCAGCAATGTATTTGTACCATGCTCGGTGGGTATAAACAGGTCGGTGGATGCAAATATTTATTTATGATGTTTTGTTTTTATTTTGATGAAAAAATCCTTGTTATTTGAATAGGATAACGTTTCTGTTTGAAGTATTTAATTGCGATGTATACAATGACGTTTTTTTATGAAATGAAATACACAAAGGAAAATGCAGATAGAACGCAGAAAATATTATCAGGAGATATGGTAGCTACAGGCGGAAGATACAATTGGGATGTAAAATTTCTAAGGATGATTAAATTATTTTCCATAACAATGGTCAATATAAAAATTTGTACCAGCATTATATTAACCAGTATTAATCAGTGTTCATCCGTTGATTTAGGTTCTGAAAATCAATATACCATTAATTAAAATTTAATTAAATCCATTTTACCATAAAAACTTATCACGAGCACCTTTCGTAATGTAATAGCGTTTGCATACGGACGCATCTCAGTTTCCACAATCGTCACCAATCGAAATCGACTCGCTTTAATCGAATGACAATTAACATTGTGGTGGTTCATCGCATTTCGTACACAATGTGCATCGATTCCAAATGATACGAGGATCGGGAATAGCAGCTCAACCGAGCTCCCTTAAACGTTTCCATTTCTATTTGTATTCAGAGCCGAAACTATGTCTGAGCTCTTCATGGGATGATGCAAAACAGCCGAAGATAGCTTCGATTCGCTGTTATTTCCTTTGAGCATAGAAGTAATAAATATTATTGATGTACGTAATTTTAATTTACTCTGGGTAATGCTTAACGCCCAACATTTTGTTATTCAAAAATTAAATATTGGGCCATAAACAAATCAATCTCCAGCAAAGGTCTAATCCACTATTCTAAGCTAGCCTCTCTAATATTAGACAACATTAAAAAAAACAAAACTGATAGAATTTTCACTACCAAACAAATTTTCCGTATAAGTGTTATGTAGATTGTTGTGATTCGTGTCTAAGTCTTCGATCTACAATTGCTTAGTTTCTATTACTGAAAGCATTTACAATTTAGTGCTGTGGTTCAACAGCTCTCAATCCTTAGATTATAATACGCATACTGCAAGCCTCAACATTATATGGGTTTAACGCATTGATGTTAAGCGTTTGACTATAAGCTTTCCAGTTGGAAATGCGCCGAGAGTTTCAACTCGACAATATTCGCATGCCGTTTGCCATATTAGTGGAGGATTAAATTAATTGAAATGATGTTTGGTGTAAGGCGTAGAATGAGCAGAGCTATTTGTTTGTCATACTTGTTTATTTAGAAATTATAATGGTGAATTACGAAAAATCGTCATTATGTGGCCAATGCTAAATCTATCTACTGGGTGCGCCATTTATATGTGGTCAATGGAAATGTTGAATAACTTGAACAATTTTCAATGAAATTTGATACACTTTTTTATTATCAAATTTAAAGTGTGTACCAGCCTGCATGACTGCTTTTCTAGCTGTTTACCAATCTAACTGTTTACCTGTCTGCCTGTCTACATATTTACCAGTCAATTTGTTCATCACTTCACCTTTCTGCCTGTCCACATATTTACTAGTCTACTTGTCCATCAGTTTACCTGTCTACCTGTCCACATTTTTTACATTTACACCACAATTTACATTTATACCACATGGTTTAATTGTTCGTCTTTCACAACAAAACTTTGATATCCTTGCCAGTGCATTGGTAGGGACGTTTTACTGTCGAGCGACCGTTGTCTGTAAATTTAATGAGTGCCTCCCGTTAATCGTATGCGCTTCTATCTGTCTAAGCTACAAAAAGCAGCAACGAACAGCACTACCGACAGCCACGAAACTCTCGGCCCCGGTGTGAATGCGCTAAAGTTAACGTGCGGTGGCATCTCTATTGTGTGTCATGGCCTTTCAACAACTTGGTAGCCCATATTATACCATTATGTGTATAAACAATGTGAATGTAAAGCATATGACACTCCCAACATGAACTCTGCAAACATGTGTAGGCAAATACCATTGGTTCAACGCGGATTAGTACAAAATTATGCATATCGAGAATTAGATCACCGATAATGTATCGCTTCTGATTAGATTGGATAGCAAAGAGCCAACTGAGATTAATTTGGTTTGATCATTATTTACAAGAACGTAGCTGTTAATACACATTGAATTGTGTTAATTTAAACGTTCAATATTTAACTAGGCAGTTGAGGAGTTCACTTACTCAACAAGTTTTAACTCTATCCTAAGGCGTGAAGTCGTTGTTGATCGTTTTTTATAGTTCTTAGAGTTCATAGTTTTCCCAAATTTTCTGAAATTTTAAAGACTTACCAAGAGTGGTTTAATTTAAAACAATTAAATTTTGAAATACGAGGGTGGTTTGAGAACTTTCCAACTACAACACAGTTTTTATATATGTTTTTTTTTTTTGTAAAGCGAAGGAAACGCGTATAGACATCCCAGGCTGGGTCTTTTGTCTGAGTAAGTCGGGCTCAATACAGTTTGGATTTAATACCGACTTCTCATTTCGCTTATCTCTTACCCCCACCGAAACCGCAGTTAGGCATTACTTCATGGGGGAGGATCTAGAATACTAATAGAAAAGTTTAATTTAGAAAGAGAATCATATCTCTTTCTAAATTATATTTTTCTATTAGTTTGCATGTATGTGTATGTGTACGTATATGTGCATCTCCGCTTATCTCTTGCCTCTTGTCCCTACAGAAATCGCAGTTAGGCATTACTTTATGAGAGGGAGGATCTAGAATGCTATGGTTCTCTCTCTTTATTATACATTCCTATTAGTTTTTACACATACATGTGGTAGACTGGTATATGAAAAATGGCAAGCAACGGGTTGACTGACGAATTATATATATAAATCGTCGATTTTCCTTAGACTATCACAAGTTGCACAGCCAAAAATAGAAAAAATAAGCAATCGGTAAAATGTACTTTAAATTTAATAAATCAAGACCTCTTAGTGAGACAAAAAATTTGTCCTACTACAAATTCAAATATACATTATTTGATGAACAGTAAGTCGATGTTCTGTAAGATAAACAACTCCTAACCAAACTAATATGATTAATTAATTCATGTTATATATATCCTCTGCAATATATAAAACTTGCAATCAGTCATTTTTTTACGTTTTATTGGAAGATAAAGTTTCTTCAGTTATATGTATAAAAGTCTGAGATACTTAATTTTCAAACAAAGAACAGAAGAATTTAGAAAATTTCAATCTCTATGCGTTTTGCAAACAATTTCATGCCATCATCAGTGATACAGATATTTCGATAATCAACATTATAAACATCAGTTAAAATAAATACTATAATATATATATATATATATATATATATATATATATATATATATATAGGCTAAATGCAGTGATAGGATTGATTGTAATCGTCATGAAATAAATGAATTTATTTATTCCATTGAAAACTATAAGCTCAAGTACAACCTACGCTGTAAGCATTTTTTGGTTATGGTGGTTAATGTTTTTTTTATTTTTTGTTCATTAAAACCATAAATGAATTTTGTAGGACAGTCAAAGATAATGTCACAATTTATGCAAGTTTTTTAGGATCTAAGTGAGTCCTTAAACTTTAAATTTAATATTCTCAATATATATCAATGTCGAAATAAATTCATTCAAAAAATGTACTGAAGTGTCATCCAGTTCTATCAAAAGTTCATAATTCAATTAGAAATTGGAAATGTTGCAATACTTCTGAGTTTTCTACTAATTTTTTAATTGAATTCTAATAAAAATTAAATTTTTATAAACTATATAACTTCTCATAAGCCTATAATATTTCGAGAAGTTCGTATTAACTATCAACTCTATCCCACACAAAGTTTGACCATCTAGACGAGTAAATACAAAATCTCATCGAACAATAAATGAATGGTTGCAGCAAAATCAATTTAAAGACACTAAACGATTTACAGACGAGAGTTAGAAATTATAATAATCATAATCATTATTTTATTTTTGGCATTACGCTTTAATAAGATCTCACTAAAAATAAAATGCGAGCTCTTTCTTTCTACGTACATGGTCTGATGGAATATTTTTCAGCTTCGATACATCAGATTTTTAAAATAACGAGACAATTGTCCGATAGCAATAGATTGAATTCGATCAAGCAGAAAACAAAAGCACTGTGTATGATATCTGTGTGTGTAGAAGAAAACTTACCGACGACGACAACGTCTCCGTGCTCGGATACTGTCTGGAAGGACGGTGCTTCGGCGCTCACTTCGCATCGGAAACGGCCCGAGGACACGAGATCGACTGACTGCAATACGACCGCGGTGTCCGTCGATGCGTTCAACTGTAATCAAAAATTTTGCCGTCACGGTGACATTTTGTAAAGAGACACATAAAATAGAAGAAGACATGTGCATCAGCATAATATAAAGGTACTATTTTCATGCAATGTCTATAAATAAGTATGTACCTAGGTCTAGTTTTTGTTGGATCAAAGGGGGCGTCCATTAATCATGTGATCGACTTTTTAAGGATTTTTGAGCCCCCCTCCTCCTTGTTGATACGTAGTGATATTCAAAATTACCTCCCTCCCTCACCTAACATCACGTGTATTTTTAGATACGAGAAAGATTTGTTTAATTTTAATTTTTTCCTGAAAATGTTTGAATTTAAACAAAAATCAGATAAAAAATGAATACTCTTATTAGACCTCTCCATACCCCACGTGATATTTCGTAATTTTTTGTCAACCCCCCACCCTCCTCCTCCCTGAAAACCTCACGTGATTAATGAACGCTCTCTATCAGTTGACTATATATCATATGAAATAGTTATAAATTTGTCAAAAAAATACTGAATACATATTACTGTAACTTATAAATTACCTGAAAACAATAATTTAGGTGTGTATGGCATCACCATAGAATGTATAAATAATTGATTTATTCAATTAATATTTGATATGTATATTATCTACCTATCTAACAGTCTACTTGTATACCTGACTAGGTAGCTACATGCTTTCGTATCTATCTACTTTTGTAACAACCTACTTGTCCACTCATTTTTCTGTCTATTCACTTGGCTACCTGCCTACCAATCGACCAGCCTACCTGTCGATCTGGTTATTTATTTACTATTTTACCTTCTTACCTGGCTACCTGTAAACATGTCAATCTATCTTGCTGTCTATATTTTTATTTGTATACTTATCTACCTGTCTACCTGTCCAATTGCCATTTCATCCCCTTGTATTTCAGTTTACTTGTCTGCCAGAATATCTATCTACATGTCATTAATCTACCAGCATTTCTACACGTATATGAATCAATAATAATAATTTCTAATGATCATTTGAGACCACAAAATCTTTTTTTTTATTTATTTCCCTGCGACTCCAAAATTGCTGGATCTGCCTTAGCAAAAAAGTAATCTCCGTCAATACAAGTAAAATGTTCAAAAACTACAATTTTTTCCCGTCTTTAAAAGAACTGCACAATCTTGCCCAATGAAATGAAAATTTGTATCCACACATACATACATACAATCAAGTTTTTTCGAGATTTGCTAAAAAATGTTTGAAAACCTCTCGTGTAGATATGCAAACATTTTTATTTACTATGCATATATATATGCATATTATTCCCAGTATACATTTTTATGGGTTAACTGTAGTTAAAAATTATAAAAAATGTGTTTCGAAGAATTGGCTAATATTTATACCGTATATTTTATTTGTTTTTTATTATATATAACGTTTTGAGAAATCTTTTATCTCATCATTAATGATATTTTTATATTTTTCTCTAATGAATCATATATATATATATATATATATATATATATATATATATATATATATATATATATTGAAATATGTGAGTTTGGTGTTGGTTTGATGAGTTATTTAGAATCGGGCAGTAACACCAAGTAAAAAAACTAACGAAGACCGAAACGTATGGATAAATAAAGTATTTCAAAACTACTTTAGTTTTTTTACTTGAGGTTACTGCCCGATTCTAAATAACTCATCAAAATATATATATATATATATATATATATATAATATATGTATATATATAAATTGCATTTAAATGATAATACTTTTAAAAACACAATCCTGCAATCGATTTCATCGAATCCAAACCGATAGCGTAATATATCACGAACAAAACTATAAATGCATCTACACAAATGGTTGTTATACGCATAAATACATTTACACAAAGTTCTATTATTGAAAATATCGATAAATCAAAGTTTTCGACACTTGCTACACATATAATAAAAATTATTTCCAGAATATGCGTTATAAATATTCATAAAAAACAGCGCCAGTGATTTACAATTGGCTAACTTGTATGCACGGTATATTATTTATCATAATCCACCTACTAATTAACATATATGTCAAAAATGCTTTTACAAAACAATCGCGTTTGAAAATTTCATGGACGTTTAGTAAAATGATAAAATAAAACCATTTATGCAATAGTAGTTATAATATAATAGAGTATATAGTAATGTATATATATATATATATATATATATATATAATTCTATTTATCCTTTGTTTTTAGTATAACCCTGCATCTACACATTATTTTTGTTTAAAGTTTTAAAAATTTATATCAGTGTAGAAATTTCTGTCATATACATTTAATATAAATTTTATCCCATTATATGCAACATACGTTATAACGGAAAGTTAAACTAACAAGGCAAATAAAAGTCTTACTTTTATACAAGCGCGGAGTACAAACTACATTTCAACATTATACATGGAGCATTACAACTTTTATAATATGTATGCATTACATGAAGCTAGAACGATATATGTTCGCCTTATATATTATATCCGTCTCCAAGTTTAATTGGTTAATTTAGCCATCTTAGAATCTTCTTTCAAACTTTGTGCCTTGGGAGGCTAACGATTCTTTAGTTTTACAACCCTGAGCTTTATGGCACCGCCAACGTTGTTGGAATGCGTGCTTCACTCTTTGAATTATTAAGAAACACCGCCAATTTTCGAATATAATCGACAAAGTTCGAAGGAGAAATATAAAATGAACTTTGGTTAGGGTTTCATAATAAATATAAAATAATTTGAGCAAAAATTATTTATAAGATTGCCAATTAAAATTTAATATCATTTATGTTGTTTATGCTCGTGCTTTCAAAATGATTGAGAAAATATTTTTCAGAAAACGTATTTTCTTTGATATTAATATGAGAATCTACATATTGCAATAATCTAATGTATTTTCCATGATATAATCAATCATTTATATCTACGTATGAGATAGATATAAGCAAAACGATTGCATTCAGAAATCAGGATGCATTAGTTGAGCAAGTAACATATTGCAACGAAGATTTTCTCTCGAAAATAATTTTAAGATTTTGTAGCAGAAAAACCACCTATGTAACCTGGGCATAAAGCAGATTTGAATTTTATACCGTAAAATGAGTTGATAGGAATATGCATTTATCTGCAATAATCTATACAACAATAATTTCATAAATTGTTTTTATGTTAAATTTTAAAGTCAGAAATGTAAATCAAAGTATTTGGTATTGGTATTTTGCCTTGAGGCAAGTAACATGAACTTCCCGATATGTGTAAATAATCGATTTAATCAATAAAAAATAAATTAATTTATGAGTGATTAAAAGTATACAGATTGAATTTATTACACATAATTAAAAACGAACGAACACGTTAACTCAAAGTGTTTTCTAAACGCTAATTTGTGATCTATCGTCAAAAAATTTTTTTCTAAATTTTATGACAAGAAAATGGCCCGGCCAATTTTTACCAAAAACTAATCAGGTCGATTCCCAATCAGAAAACATAAAAATCGAGAAAAATCGAGAAAACATAAAATTAGCGAATCGGATTTTTTTATGAAAACATAAACTTTTTTTCGGGAAGTTAATAATATTTTTAAAGGACTCATAAAAAATCATTCTCTAGAACATGTAAACACAAAAAAACACCACTGGCAAATTTAAATAAAAATATGATTTGGGGAATGAAAGGAGAAGGCAAAGGCAGCGTATAACTCTAAGTAAAACAAAATTAGCTGTCTGGGTGAAGATTAAGACTTTTCGCAATCCGAGATAGCACGAATGTGCTCATTCTGAATTCTGCAATTTGTAAGTCAGACACTATTTTACCTTGGACTCATGCACATTACGCGAACACAGCAAACTACTTTTTCGGTCCACGCGTTTTTTTGTGAGCAATTCGCGCGGCCGTAACCGCGAGTTTTCATGATATGTCATATGAAAAATTTATCGCAAAAGTTTCGAGTTTTTTCAACGAAGTAGAGTGTGCTGAAAGATTAATTTTCTCGACGGCTATCTGATAAACAAAACCGACAGCTCCAATGCTTCTTATCCAGGAGCAAGGAAAGAGATTTGAGAGCTAGTTAAAGTTTCAAGCCTCAGCTCTCAGCATTTACCAAACTTTCAGGCGCAGCTAACAAAACTAAAATCGAATTTGTACGCGTTTTTTTGTGAGCAATTCGCGGCCGTAACCGCGAGTTTTCATGATATTTCATGAAAAATTTATCGCAAAAGTTTCGAGTTTTTCAACGAGTAGAGTGTGCTGAAAGTTGATTTACTCGACGGCTATCTGATAAAGCAACCGCAGCTCCAATGCTTTCTTATCCAGGAGCAAGGAAAGAGATTTGAGAGCTAGTTAAAGTTTCAAGCCTCAGCTCTCAGCATTTACCAAACTTTCAGGCGCAGCTAACAAAACTAAAATCGAACTTTGTAATATTTAGTTGCGAGCAAAATTACTTATAGCTAAATTTAACATCTTTATAACAAAGTAAATTAAATGTAAGTTGAAGGAGTACAATAAATCCAAACTATAATAATAGAAAACTATTGAATTATATTATATTCTATTTAATTTTAATTTAAGAAAACATTCTAATTTGTAAACTAAAAAATAATAATTAAAAAACTGTCTAATTATTTGATACCCAAACTATAATGTAAAATAAGAAATACTAATAGTAGATTTGATTCTAATATTAAACTAGTTGGTATTGGTATTTTGCCTTGAGGCATGTTGAACGAACTTCCTGATATGTGTAAATAATCGACTTAATGAATAAAAAATAAAAAGTTCCATAAAAATCGGCTTAAATCTAAATTTTGTTTAAACAGTTAATTACAAGAAACGGCTCCGTAGATTTTTACCTAAAACTAATCAGTATTATTCCAACTAATATCTTTTGAACAGTTTTTGATTTTCAAAATTGATTCGGTAATATGAGCTTAAATGTAGATATGTAATATTAATAGTATATTTGATTCTCATATTAAATA